CTGCCTATAACTACCTACATATTTCCTTGAACATAACCCTTATGGTAGACGTAACACTAACTCCAAACGTAAGACACAAGCTTGAGGCTAAGCGTGTATAAGGTGCGCTACCAATGATACCTCTGCCGAAATGGCCTAATTAGATTTGCGTGGTGGGTGGTCATTCTTATTTCGAGATGGACTGTATCGTAGTAAGCAGTCATACTTGCTGGCGTACTAAAATGTCCGGATAAAAAAAACATGCCTACTGTTATGAAGTATGTAGGCAATTATGCGAAGAATAAGCCACTTGCCCAATTTTATAGCCTGGGTGTGATAGGGCACGTATCCCGGAGCTCCGTTACCCACTAAAAGTCATTGGTTTTCCTTCTAACCAGCTCTCGGACAGCAATTATCCTCTGACAAAAGACGCGAGTGATGTGTCTCCGTTCAACCCTCGCTTCTCAACAGGGCTGGGTGAGTTGCCGTTTCTGATACAATCTTTCAAATGTTTAAAATATTGCTACTGAAAAGGTTTAAGTAACACTTTTTAATACCAATCTACTTCGCTTTAGCCATCTCGCTAACAGCTTTCAGTAACGCGCGGTTTAACTTACAATTATCGCTAAGGCATCGCCTGCGAAAGGCTACATGTATTTTTGCTACTGCAGATGTTTTCTTGGAATACGAATAGGCAAGGTGCCCTAACTGACCAGATTACCGGGCCTGCTTGTCCCGTAGACAGTCGCACAGATGCTCAAAAACTCGCTATCTGTTGATGAAAAGTTTTAAATGCCCCAACTTCTGAACTTCCGGCTCAGTGCCCTGTCGGTTGTAATACGGCCTATCGATTAGGGTAAAAGGGCACTTATTAATACGTTTACGGCACAAACAGGCCGTTATAGCATGCTCGTATTTTACTGCCTGTTTCTCATAACTTCACTTTCCTCCTCTTTTCGATTTAACCACTAACACAAGCGTAGAGACTAGTCCTCCAGAAAGTTAACTCAGGAAACTTCAAAACAAGAACGTGTTTTCTGCGTTAGCAAAACTGGCAGGACTGTTTGCTACCTTAGCGCTTTTTCTAAACCTCAAGTACTCACTTTGCCGTTTTTTTTTAATCATGAACAAAGGAGCTATCATGCCTCTGAAATACTCATTCCTGCCATCTAATTGTTAGTTATCTGAATTTACCGTAGCTTGGTCTCGTTTTATGCTCGTTCTAACACGCTGCATGTTGCTAAATGTTACTGAAATGGACCGCAGACCGTCCTCGTCGTTTTAGCCTTGTAAGCCGCCGTTTTCATGTGGCTTTAGGTATCGCAGATGGCTAAGTAAGTTAGACCCTAGCAACTACGGTCTTCAGGCCCAGTTGCTTACGAGAAGAGAATTCATGGGATGCCAGAGTGGAAGGAACAGTTTATTCCGTACAAAAGGAATG